TCACGATAGCTTCTAAATCCTTGAATAATAACCTGCATAATAAGGGAAAAGAGAAGAAAGAGAGTTTGACAAACATGACTGGTATAATTTGCAGTTAACCAAAAACCATCCTATTTTACTATCATTACTAAATCGCTGACGATTTAGTAATGATAGTGGCGAAGGGCTAGCACTCGAAACGTCAGCTTTTTAACTCTTCACGATGAACAATTTACAATTTCAACCTAGTTGATATTTACAAATAATTAAGCTACCATATACCTCTTAAACTATGTTACCCCTTCAACTTCCAAGATCTCATCAGTAATTCTCCTTGTTGCGTGCCACACAATTCTTATGGCATTAGTTCAGAGAATTTGTTATTGGATCAACTATGATTTTCTTTATTCTTATCGCTAGTCTGCTTGATATTTTATCAATATTGTAGCCAGAATTTTTTCTTGGTCACTCTGAAATTGTGGTTAAGATGTATGCATGTTTTTGTACAAATTTTAAAGAAAACAGGCATGTTGAGAACAATAATTTACTTGCAATAACTAGGGAGAATTTAATTTTAAAAAAATTGATTTTAGCAAGCCATGAAGGACTACAGGAAATGGAACTGGTATAACATGGAGTTTTATTGTTTTATTTCTAAACCATAAATCATGTATTAAAAGAGAAACGTTAACAGAATCATGTAATTGTTTTGCTACAGTGTTGTTAATAGGTTGGTTAGGGGAAATTGAAAATATTTCATCACATTTATAAATCAACTGTTAATCGTGGACAGTAACGTTGCAAAGTATTCTATGTAAATTTAATTTATTTTTGTGTGCTTATAGTATTTCTTTGAATTAAGATCATTTTCTTTTACGATTTAATTAATCAGCACTTTGGCAATAAATCGATCAAACGATGGTATACGACGTAAAAAGAATAGAAAAAATCGTTAAACTAAGTAAATATCAATACCGCAAGATTTGAAATAACAAATTTAATCCAAGTTTACACATTTGTTTTGGTGATGGTGTGACAACTCGATTCATAAATTAACCGAAAACAGAAACTGCACGATTTCCTTCCTTTCTTAAGTGAGGGGCTTCGGCAATTATTTCAACAGAAAAATCTTCCCAAGAAGTAATGAAAATATTCACTTAGTGAGGTTAACCATAATCAAAGGCAAGTTTGGATGGTAGTATCTTTTAACGATCTGCTAAGCGTGACATTCACAAAGTTGACAGGTTCGTATCAAGACCTTTCCCGATTTCTCAGCGTTTAACATTCAGTCAGAAGCGAACGAAACAGACCAGAGATAAGAAAAATGTCTTACCTGCTTAATGTACATAACTGTCCTGTTGTTTGAAGGTTTCAAGAGGAAAAATTTAGTGAAAAATTAAGTGCAAGGCTGAACGAAAATCATGGCGGAGCGACACATTTTGGCGCGAATATATTCAGCTGGGCTCTGATTGGTTAAAAATAAAGATCCCATCGCTCTCTGCGCAGCGTGAAAAGAGATATACGTCATGTAGGTGAAGTTATGAGTCCAACTCTACAACAAGCCTTTCTTGAAAAGCGTTGAAAAAGTACTGAGGTTTGTGGATTGACCCATAATATCTCTAAGACTTTCCACACAGTTATATGTTGTCAAAAAACATAACTGCGATCGCGTTTTCCCGGGTACGGTTCAATGTCTTGATTCCATGCAGAAAGAAGTTTATGACATGTAAGCTTCGGTGCAACCATATAGTGCAACATGCTACTATATAGCCTTCTGTGCTTCTTTTTTCTTTTTAAAAACAGATAAATTTTTCCTTCTGTCTCTTTGTTTATTTTTTGTTCTGTTGACAGTTGTTATTTAAAGAGTTTGATTACAGATACAAATTAAAACAAAAATTTGAAAGGATTTAAGACAAGTTTAACTTGAGATACCAAAAGTAACCACAGCATGTGTAATTGTTCTTCCATGTTCTAAAAATTTATTTTAATTGGAACGGTTGATATGGAAAAAATTTCAGTTGTTTCAAGGTAAAAGTGTGAGTCAAAATCAAAGAGTAACAACTTTATTTTTGTTCAAAGAAAACTTACATTTTTTTAATTTGGTTATATTAACTTCAAGTTGATTTATAGTTCTCTCTCATAATCAAATGCTTAACTTGATAAAAACGATTGTACATAATCTAGCAGTAGCTTAGATAGAGCTAGATCTGGCAATTTTCTCATCAAAATCAGAGCATATCTCTTCAAAAAAAAAAGGTATGTATCTTGCAATATATGTGAAAAATAGGGGCAGACTTCAATTGAAAACATAGGAGTGTCTTTTTATACCTTTAAATCCTTCACAATTATAATTCAGGAGCTTGGTGACATTCAGTGTATGTTGTTCAAACACATCTCCTGTTTTGATTTCTATTGCTTTCTTGATTCTGGTTGGCAACCCCATCCCCCTCCCCCTTAGGAAAGAGCAAGGGCACCTTTCCCAAAATATTGCTAATATTCCCAACTAACAAATCTCAAAATAAATTGTTACTTTTCTAGATCAAGTTTCCTTCCATGCTTTCTCTTAAATAATTAGCCTATATATATAGGCTAATTATTTAATTAGGATTTTTCTATTACATTAAAATTGTTTCATCTTTAAATGTCAACAGTAACATAATTTTTTTTTTTAAAGGAATTAATTTTACCTGAAAGGAATGGCCAGATAAAATTGAACTTAACATGTCATGCTAAACAATGCTTATCAGTAATTTCGAAACAACTGTTGCAAAAAATCTAAGCTTAATCAGTTATAGCCATTCCATCTTCTCTTCATAATGATGGAAGGTCTATTATCAAAAAGAAAATACAAAAAAAAGTGCATCTCAAAACAGGCACACACACACACACAAACCTAACAAGGTTCTGTGGATTTTCTTGGATGTTATTGTTAATAATGTTCCAAGTAGATACTATAATGCAAAGGACAAGAGAGGGCAGGCTTGGTTCGGTATAATCTGACCAGGAGGGTCCCGTCAAGTTGGGACCCTGATTAAGACAAAATACACCCTGTTCTGCAACTGATCCCTCACAGAATCATGCAAATGTTATTCATATTATTAGCAATTAATTTACTAAGACTACCTTACAAAGCACAGAGTGCAGGTGGTTAACTACTCATGTCCAATGGCTGCTGATAATTTGATGCCTCAGTGATTTAAAATATATCATACTGTGTTCACAGAAAATGTGATCAAATGGAGGCTTCACTCTTGGTCCGGAGTTCCAAAGTTAAGTCCTGGCTGGACAAAACATATCTCAAAATGGTTCCTTTTTGAAGTGGCCACCAAGGAAGGAAAAAAGGGTTGAATTATGAGGGAGATGGGGCAAGGAGGGTTTGAAAGAACAATGTTGGTCACATGTGACCTAAACATACTGCCGACCTGAAAACGAGATGACAATAATTATATCAACATTAATAGAAATAATGATATAAAATGAATATCAGTTATGATGATAATCCCTAAGTCTTAGTGTCAGTTTTCCGAAAGTGTCTTCATTTTGCATCTCACACAATTCATTATAACAATCGGTTAGCCGTTGATATCGAGGAAGCTTCCGCGTTCGGAGTACGAACGGCTTATAGTATCCTCAAATTCGTCATCCAGCCTGACGTTTCTTCTACGTTTAAATGCGAGCAAGCTAGTCGTAACCAGTGAAATTAAGACCAGAATTAGCCCAGCAACTACCACCATAAAGTACCCGCGGTATCGTCTTTCCAGTATATGACCAGAGTAATTTTTTTTCGATCTCAAGTCGACGATCAGACCGATAAAGGTTAGAACGAGAAGAGCTGTGAAAACATTACCGAAGAACGAGCCATAGCGGATAATAAAGCGACAAACTGGAATCCTCTCCAATGAACACTCTCGGCTTCCAAGCAATCTTGCTAACAGGAAGGATGTCGTAAAAAGAACCAGTAATCCATTCACGATCACCACCAGGAACAACACGAAAAAGGGACAGTTTACATCACTCGACGAACCAGATTCGAAATTTGACCAACAAGACTCTGAGGTGTTCTTCTTGCCTACTTCCGCCTCCAAGAAATTCACCGTTAAAAAGCAAGCTTCTGCCGCCAAAGAAGACGTATAGGTCAGTGCAAATAACGCTCTTGGATTACAGTTTCCCATTACTTTAACTTTGTGAGAAAAGCTGGGGGGTTTGTATTTAAGGATGTGCAACTTTAGTTTCTCTTTTGAAAGCGCGTGACAGATCAATACGATGGGAATCGCGTGACAATATTGCCGCTGATCACAAGTGAACTTTCATGCCACTGAAGGATCGAGACAAAAAATGAACTCGCCAATTTGAACGTGATCTTTCACTTTCTGAAAGTTGATTAGCTTCAGCTACAGTTTTTTTTTTATATAATTATTCAGTACACTTGCGCATAAAAATCGCCTATTTCACGCCGAGTGAGGATCTCTCTCATCAATCCCTGGCTAGATGAACAATTCATGAGCTCCGGGATTCTAGTTAAGCAATAGAACATATTTTCCGGGCTCTGTAAAGTGATAAAGCCACGCAGGATATTGCGAGAACGCGAGGAAAGCTTGTTTTGCCGAAATTTTTATCAAAATTTAGCGGCTTCCAAAACATTGAAACAAATATTGATATCAATAATGAGAAAACTAAAAATTTCATAAGGAATCATTCTTAATTCCTTCCCAGGAGCGAGCTGTAACATCAATAAGAGAGGAAAACAAGGAAAAACTTCCAAGGAAAAACAAATGTAATGAAAAAAGAGGTAGTGACCTCATTCCCCCATTAAAAAAGGAAGGACGAGCATGTTTACTCTTTAATCAATCTCAAAATCCGCATGAGAACAAAGAAACAAAATAAAAGCTTTTATATTTAGTGTTTGAAGGTCTGTATCAATAATGAAACTCCTCTATATTTTCAGGGATGTACTCTGTCCCTACTCATTCCTCTTCTTCCTCTGCTCTCTCTCCCAGTCCCTCTCCTTCCTCTGCTCCCTCTCCTCCCTTTGCCTTTTCTTTATTCCTCTCTATCCACTCCAAAACACGATTAATCGCACAAACCTCCCGCATACGGGATGCAATTTACGAACCTCAAGAAGGAACTTACATCTATCCTCTGCAAACCGTAGAAAAGAGCAAGGCTAAACAAAAATATTGTTACTATTGTAAACACAACTATAAATTGACACAAGAAAAATTTTTTTGGAAACACGATCCGACTCCAAAACACTAGTGCACTCAAACAACCGTAAGCTAAGCCAGCCAACAGAGAAAAGTTGTTAACTTGTGGAACGGTGCCGAGAAAAATGAGAGCGAAGAGTGGGGCAATTAAGGAAGTAAGCCTTTTCCCCGGAGTTTCCATCGTTCGTCTACGTATCACGTGTTCAGCCAAAGCCAGGCCCATTATGCCACCGACGGCTGGACCTGCTCCGGCCTGGGGCGAGTCATGCTTCGTGAATAAGGAGCCAATCTGCAACAAAAGAAGAAAAGACAAAAAAGATGAAAACTGCAAAGTGCGAACATTCTGTCAAAATCAAATACAAAACATAATTCATGGTTGTTACGACAGATGCAACGGTTATTCTGGATCAAACTATGGGCACTAAATTAGGCTATTTCCTCCAAGAAATTTGCTTCAACTGGCTTTTACTCAGTCGAAGTTATTACTGTTTAATCTAATATGGCATGAGCCCTACCAAGTGTCCGCCCACGCCAGCAGTATGATACACCAATGCCATGCGCAACCATCCAATAACGTTTTCCTGTCCCCCGCACAACCATACTTGTATAGGTGTGATCAGTAGGTAGTCCAGAATACCATGATGTAGATAAAGTGACGTCAAGAATCGCCACCATTGATAACCTCGACGTGGAGAGAATTGCGTGACGTAATTGCCAGCTGCAATATCATTGCCCAGAATGCAAAGCTGCCTTAAACAGTCGACCTGACAAATAGTCAAAAAGTGTACGTACATGAAATTCAACGAATGATCCAGACAAAATTTTATCATTGCAAATGAGCCAATTTTTAACCATTAGGCCAATGAATTAATTAACATGAACCATTACTTATATGTTTATGTAAGTTAGAGCTCTGCGTCTGCTAAGCATTCATCTCGGAAAGATCCTTTTACTTTAACATTGAGTTCATTCTACGCTTCATTCCTGTTACCACCTAGCTAGTAAAATCATGTGGGCAAGGAATTAACTGTATTCTATCCTAACTATTTCTTGTTCATTTATTTTTGATTCTGCACTAGCCGATTCCTTGATTTTTGGTGCAAACAACTATTTATAGGTTGGTTCTCCTAAGTGTCGATTTCTCTGTAATCGGTAAGGTTGTCGTGCTTCAAGTGAGCCCTCTGTACCTGTGTGCAGTGGTCAACGTGAAGATGAAATCGACCCTTCATAAACCAACAGTGCTGCGGACTGCTCAGCGTGCACTGCCCATCTTCTTTACAGCAGGGTCGCAAGGTATGCTTGACTGCTGATTGTGATGAAGACCGCTGATTACATCGTACTTCCCTCCAAGTTGCTTTGTTGTTTGAGAGAACGCTGCATTCTCCCTGTAGAAATAAAAGCTCTGAAGTTTCTGTTCGTTATTCTTACGCAAGGGGAGGTGAAGGAAAGGCTTTTGGTACAGGCCTTGCGATACGTCTATTTCGCTAGAGTTGAGCCTGAATACTCAACTGAGGCGAATGTCGCTGACGTGGATATCAATTTTGTCGAAGTAACAACTTGGAAAAGAAGAGATATCTATCGAAAATAAATTTAAAAGTATTTAATTGATATCTCCTCAAAGAAAATTCAATACCAAAAAATTGACAGAAAATAGGTGACCTTACTTCGCGCAATTAGAACTGGCCAAGCAGGAGACATAGTGGCCTTATGGTTATTGCACTGGACTCCCGGTCAAGAGGTCTGGGTTCTGGGTTCGAGACCTGGCTTGTTGTGTTCTCGATGCCTCTCTCCCAGGTCCCTCAGGAGTATAAATAGGTACCGGCGAAAACCGGCGAATTGTCAAGGAAGCCTGATAAAATGCTATAGGGGGGAGGGGGGGGTTAGAAATATCATCCTAGCCACCCCAGGATAAGCTCCAGCAAGGTTGGCCATTAGGCTCGAGGAAATAAGATAAAAGAGTTTACCTTTGCTTTAGGAGCAATTAATTCAATTTTGAATTGAGCCATTTTACCTTAGTCGTAGTCCCTGCTGCGTTCACTTCCTTCATCTCACAGCAGCCCAGTCTTTCTTCAATTTCCCCAATATTCGGCTGCAAAGATTGAACCTGGTAGACGTTAAATGTATAGTCTTCCCTGATGCACGGCGGGAAGAGCGCTCCGAGGGATATCAACTTCGCCCCTGGGGGCCCAATCAAAGGGTTTGGCCGTTCAACGTGAGTTACAGTGACATTACCACGAAATGTGAAAGGCTCTGACAAATAAAAAGAAGTATAATGTTAAGATCTTTATGTCTTGCATCCATCGGAGGAAGTACGTGGTTTAAATCCCGTCTGTTAAGTTTTAAATCAACTAATGACCAGGTCTGAACCCAATCACATATTACAAAGATTGGCGCTTTTTTTGCACAATGCGACAACATTTATAAGATCCTGCCATCACGGCGATTTTCCGACTCCTGTAAGGGGAATATGTGGCTAGAATTAACAAATGGTAAACACCAATAGCTGCACACTAAATTGACCAATCAGAGCGCGCGCTTTACTTTGGTTATGTTATAATTGTAGGTCTTGACCTCCGTCGACGCTCTTGCAAAGTTTCTTGATTTTTGCGACCTGTTCATTTTTGAAACGTTCTTAAATTTCTATTTTTTTTCCCTCAGTTCGTCGGACCTTCCTTGCAACTCTTTTTATTCATTATAAGAGTTTTTCGCACCTTTCGCTCCCGCTCCTGCGACTTTCTGTGATTATCTCAATCAAGCGAGCAATATTTGTAGTTTACGTAAATTTGTCTGTTTCTCTGTGAGTCAGGAGGCTGGCGTGAAGGGAGTTCTCAAGATGATGGAATCTCCTGACATGAGTAGCACTAGTGTTCATAAAAGTCCCAGCTTACTCGTACTGAGGATTGAAATATAAAAACTTCGGCCTTATTCACCACTACACCAATTTAAACCAATGATTGATGGACCTAGATATGAATTTGAATGATTTTTAGCAGGAGATGACCTTAGAATTCATAAACATTGTCTCCTAAGCGGCCGTTCAAGTTGGGACGACACCCAAAACCCTAGATCGCCCCTTCCGAAGAACTCCGTTGGCTCCCTTGGCTCCGTTGGCGTATTTCATAGATATTCACATCTCCTTCACCTTTTACTCAACTCAACAATCAATTTCTGATTTCACAGAACTACCCCAGCTGTTAAATGCAGATACTGACTGTAATTCACCTATTCTGTAATAGATTCTCGGTGATAAGCCTATTTCAGTGAAAGGTGTCGTCCAGCACAGCCAGATCAACATACATAATTGTGCTAAGGAAACCGCGCATGTGAAGTAAGGGCGAAACCGGCTGACCGCTTTTGGCTGCGGTCTTTCCACCGAAGATCTTGAAGAGCACGCTGACTCATATTCTTCCGTTGTGGTGTCTAAGTAAACCAAAAAACAAAAAGATAAATAGACGTAATCGTGTTTAAAATAAAGTGCAGTTCACGAGGCGTTTTTTCGCTGTCCTCCTCAGCTCTACTGATAGATTCAAAACGTTCAGTCTCAACCCTTTCAACTTCCTTGACTTCTCAGACATTATTAAGGTGTCTTTTGTTCTTGCCTATATACCGAAGATTGTGAGGAAGCCCTCATTATATTACTACTTCTTCTATGAGGCCTTGAGCAACGCGAACCCTCGAGAGGACGGCAGTGTCAAACATTAGTGCCAGATCCCCCGGAGATCTCTCGTTTCAAATCTTTCCGCGCGCTGAAAAACGTTCGTCTAGTAGCGCTGATAATGAGGGGATCTGGGCCTGCTTGCAGGGTTTACTTTCTGCAGCAGTTTCTTTATCAACAAGACCAGGAGATTATAAGCCGAGCTCAGTACCTTTTCTGTTGCGAACACATCTTTAGAATGCCTTGCCGAAAATCCAAGACTGAGATGACAAGGTAAAGTCATCTCTCAACGATGACATTTCATAACGTCATAGAGATCACGTAAGGACGTAACGGACACACAAACACACACACACACAAAACCCAAGCGTATGCAGTTTTATTTCGCATTTTGTAAAACTGATTTGAGGGAGTCCATCTACGATTAGGTTATCCTATACCTCGGATCCTAGTGCGTCAGCCAGCGAAAAATTTGAAACAAGATGCGAATTGTTTCCTGGAGTAACTGGCTCACTTCACCGGTACCCGAGGTGCCATGCGCTACTAAGATTACTTTCCGTTTTCGAAATCATTACCATAATGGTGTAATTTTTGTTCAATGCAATCCACTCATCTACCGCATCATCATTTTTTTCCTCAAATTTTATATCACCTGATTTGATTTCCCATCCACAAGTTTCAATCTCACCAAAGTCCTAAATTTGAAAGTCTTGCCAAAAACAAACAAAAAACAAAAAAACAAAAAACCGAAACGACATAAAACTACCATAAGGATATATATCTCCTTTCGGAAATGTTACCTTCTTCACCGATTTCAACTTGCACGCGTGTCGTCATTTTCAGACCGAAGAGGTTTAGACGAAAATAATATTTTTCGTCACCATTTTATCACCAAAAATAAGCAGACACACTAAGTCACGCTGTCATCGCGAAAAGCATTTTTTCACAAAGCGATGGCAAATTATTTTATTTACGTCATAGAGATCACATGCACATCGTGGCGTATCATTTGGCATTCTTATTGGCTCGCGCAAAGCTAACCTCGTCCCCAGACCCATGACCGTTCGCGCCACACTTTACTTTCCTGAAATCTGACTGGCTAATAAAACAAAAGCAAAAACTCAATCGTGATTGGTCATCAAGCGAACTCACGGTAAATACACGGTCTTCTCAGTTAAACCTTTGTAAACACTTGCAGTATACGGCTGTCATTCAGACCTGCGTAAGTATGTTTTAATCTGAAAATACTTTAGCTTTACAAGTGGGTATGGAGTTTTTAAACTAATTGATGTACGTAAGCCTTGGAAAGTCCTAACATGCTTGTTTCACATTCACTGATGTTACTCCAGTTCTGCGTTATCAAGAACTGATGTAAGGAATTTTGAACTTCTCACCCTTTGAATACGGTTTGTAAAAAATTATTCAGCCAACTGAAGAGGCTTGGTAAATAATATAAAATATCACTTTGTCTTCTCGTTTGGAAGTGTTAATAAGATGATCATGAAAGCGTCATGATTTGAACACAATTTGCAGTGCTGCCAATCACCAACTGAGTTCCGTCATGTGATACATCCAAGGCTTGAATGGGTTTACCTTCCTCCTTCACGCTAGCAATTACCTGTTAAAAAAAATAATTATAAATCACAAAATTACTGAAATAAACAATTTGCAACCATTATCCCGTGCACCTAGATAGATAGATAGATAGATAGATAGTTTATTCCGATTAAAATCGCAGCTAAAAGCTGAATTAGATTAATCTTTACAATGGTAAAATCTAATAAAAGTATGAGAAAAATAGAAGAAAAATGTACACAAATTAACTACAATTACTATGTAAAATGTGTTCATGAGTCTCTTCGTCTTAGCCAGAGGAACATTAAATTTCCTCTTTCGTCTCAAATTGAGTTCACAGTTGTTATGAGGAGGCAAGAGCTTCTACAGTTTATGGTCTGAATTACAAGTGATGGAATCAAAAGGCTTAGTTGTGATAGACTGCCTGCGTTGGGAGAGCGTCTCCAAGTTGGCTTGATTTATTGCGTCGCTATAAATCCTTTGACCTTTAAGTGTGATTAGCATCTAATTTCTCCTTACAACATCAGCCCCGAATCAACCATTAAGGTCAGGAGAATAAAGAAAATGATCACCAACTATAGAAGTCCTTGATCGTTAAACAAATTCCTCCTTGTCAGCACCTTTAGAAATGCAAAGAACATTACGAAGAATGCATACTGATCGGTTAAGGTGTGACCTTAATGTGAAATTTCAGCAGTGGCGAATCGGTGTCGCGCACCTTGTTTTCATTTCTGTTGATGATTTTAAGATCATTAGTTCCACTTCCTCCTGCGGCGATAAGATCACCACAGGAACAAAACCGTGCCACGTACAGAAACTCGCCGTGCTCATGCTGACTCGGAAATGGAATCGATTCTATCAACTTGCCGCTTCCATAGTCCCAAAGCTACAAAACAGATAAGATTAAATTGTAACTTCTATCCACAAAATCGTTACCTTGTCAAGCAGACGCTGGATGGCAATTAAGCAAAATATCACCTTGGTGCAATTTTCAGTTGAGTCTCGAAAGAAGACTGGGTAGCTTTAGTTCTGTTTAACAACGAAGTTTGATTGTTCGAGAAATCTTGTGACATCCTCTCAACCAATCAGATGACTTGTTGACTCACATTTTCCCGCGCTTGAGGCCCTTTGGTTGTTTGCAGTTTGTGTTCTCATTGGTTCCCTGAGACATTTACTTTTTTTTCTGATAAGCTTTTATGATCCTTTTGGTTTCAGTCCAACGAGACTGATTTGAAAAGTAAGCTAAAACTTTAAATTCTCTTGACCAACAAATGTGCAAATACCTCAAGTTCTTGGCAGTCTTTGCTATCTCCTACTTATTTGCATCTTAAAAACCCCAAGATATTGATAGTGGTTGTGAGGTCAAATCGCAACACAAGTAAAATTATTACATAAAAAAGAATAGCTTTCTTAAATCTTCAACATGGTTACGACTGCCAGTACGGTTTTTCATCAGACTGTGGAGCAATTTCCCTCAATTACATGTTGTTTCCCAAATCTTGATAAAAAATTAACTTACTTCCTTGCTTTCCTCGAGAATTATTTATTCTCGTTAAATTATCCTTGATTGTCTGCTGCTTATTTATGCTTTTAGAATTTCGTACGTAACAAGCGATCGACATTTTAACTTGGAGCGAGTGAATTAAACTGGCACACGTGCGAAAGAGAATTCACACCCGTGAGAGAAGTCACACGCGCGCGTGAGATGTGACATACACGCACTATCCCGCCTGTCTCCTCTCTTGCACGCGTTTGTTGGCCCACTTGGTAAGCTGCCAATCTTGTTCCCAGGACCTCTCTTCTTCTAATGTCGTACAAACTACTTTTCAAATTACCTGAAGGGCATTACGGGCCAACCAAGAAGCCGTCAAAATAGAGTCTTCCCAGATGTCAATTCCATCACCACAGATGTACGGCCCGTGGACGGAGCGAACCACTTTATCAACTCGTACATCCCACACCTACCAAAAGACGAAAAATAACTCAACTTCCTTTCTTCTGACTGGTGGTTGTTTTTACTTTTAGGACACTCAAGACGCATGGCCCTCTCAGTGAAAACTGGAAGAGAATTTAGTTCGCGATTCACCTTCAAACATCTGTCCCAGCCTCCTGTCAGGAATAGGTTGTCATCAAAAGGGTGAAATTTCACTGCAAAAACTTTTCTGCCATGGCCTGCCTCTGGAGCAAAAATGTCGTCCTCTCTGGAAATTTGACAAGTACAAAACCATGAACAAAATGGCAGTTTAGTGCGTAATCTTGACACAACTCAAGGAGGGGGGGGGGCACGGGTGGGGCATTTAAAGGGAAGTTCATGAAGGAAGGGTATCAAGGCTTTTACTTTCTACTCCTGGATGGAGAGGAACACAGGTGCCCAGGAACACAGCACAATGACCCACCCAGGGTCCTTGAAAACTTTACCCTTGCAGCCCACCCCC